GGGGGCTTCTATCCCAGGCCCCATAACAACCAAATGGGCTGCTATGGTTATTGTTATGCCACTGCTCACAGGTGTGTCGTCACTCTTGTGCTCTGCAGCCCTATAGCATGACATGCCTGGGTGGATCACATTCCTTTGAATTTTTTTTGACCGTATCCGTTACTATATGCAGAATTCTTTCAGCTGCAATTGCCCTTTAAAGCCCAGCTCCAGCTGATTTTTTTTTTTTTGTGTAAAGCATGAGGAATTGGTAGATCTTTTTGTCATAAACGTATTGCTGTCTGCATTGGGCAGATTTTAACAGGGGTTATTTTCGGTCTGTAGGAGAAGTTCAGAGGACGATACATCTATACTGCTAAGATGGGACAAGTAATTACTTCTTACTGCACAGAGGGGGATCTGGGACTAAATGATCCTGAGGTCTGACTTCAGCTCTTCTATTAGAAGCCTCACCAGGACCTATATAGAGACAGCTTGAGGTGGTTGCATCTCAAGGGGGCGACCACAGCATCACAGAATGTTGGAGTCTTTAGCAGCCTGTGACGCTCTGTGTGGCTTCCCCAGCTCCCTAATGTCATCGGTTGGCAGGTGCTGAGTGGGACTCTAGCTTGCGTCCCGCCGAGCTCCTGGCAACCGGTGACGTCAATAAGCTGGGCAGGATGCCGGATAGAGCCGCTGACAGCCCGGTCCGTGCCTCCAAAGTATCCCACCCCTAAAAACCTCCTCCCTGGCTCATTAACCTCAGGCGGTGAATACTTTAGGGACAGACCTAAACCTCAGTTTAGTTTTCCTAATCCGCCTCCCTAATGGGGACCTCCTACCCCATAGCAGCCGCATGGTAAAATGCACGCCTCTGTTTTTCGGGTCACCTGTGAGGTGTTTGGCAAGTGACCACTATTGGGACTCTTATACATGGTGAAGATGCCAAATAGAGGCTACAACAGTATACATGAATGCAGAGGAGGACTGGGGTTGTCACTGACAGCTCAGTCCTACAGAATATACTAGAAGTGCATGGCTCTCCCGGTGTAGTCAATGGAGATGTGCTGTCAGTGTGCCAGTTGCTTGCTGTGCTCTGTTGATTAGGCGCGCGCAGAGCTCCTGATGAGTGGATGTCTGTCAAGTGGATTTACTGAAGGCTTTGATTTCCCAGCGTAACATGCAGGCATGAGCTGTAAGTTTGACAGCCCCAAGCTGCATACCGTGCAGGAGATGGCCAGGGCAATTTGCTAAGGCTGCAGAACACCCACAGATAGGTGCCCCTTATGCCTCTGTCTTGTCTCTACCCTGCCTACACATTTGCATTTGGTTGAAAAGCAATATCCAGAATGAAGTCTCTTTTTGTTGAGTAGTTTTGGAAATGTTGTTAAGCTCTGTTGACTATGGAAATACTTTACAATATGTCTAATAACATTGTTTATATCCCCACAGCATCTCGGTCTGAGGAGAGCCACCTGATCAGCGTGACTGACCATGAGAAGGAACTGGCGCGGCTCAAGAAGGAGGTGCAGGAGCTCAGGGAAGAGCTGGCGCAGAGCAGGGAGCTGATCAGTCAGCAGCAACAGCTACTACAGGTACACAGGCAGAGGCTAGAGGATTGTTATTGAGGTTTGCAAATCCTGTACAAAATGATGGATTCTTACACCTGGGGCCATAGAATTCTCTACTGTACAAAATGAATAATAATTACAAATGGTGTACAGCAGGGGTCTCAAACTCAATTTAGTCGGGGGCCAGTGGACACATTTTTTAGTCTTGTGAGGGCCGCTACTATATACGGTACCAGTTTTAATGTATGCACATGTTACAAGCGGCAACTGTCACCCATTCAAATTAATGATCGGGTGACAGCTGCTCCATGTAAACGCCTGCACACTGCATGTAATCGTATGTGAAAGGATTACATGCAGTTAGGAATCAATCACTATCCCTGGATTCCCTGACTGTTTTTGTAACTGCATATAATCCTTTTGCATGTGGTATGCAGGTGTGTACATGCAGCGGCTGTCACCTGATCATTAACTTGAATGGGTGACAGTTGCTGCATGTAAACGCCAGATTAGGGATTCCTGCCGATTCTTTGCAGGGAAGAGGCACATCATCGTTCCCTGGTTATCTAGTGGTGATTAGTAAGGTCTAGTGCAGACCTTACTAATCATCCATCATTCGGCTGGAGCTCAGAACTGACAGGAGCTCCGGCCAGAGCTGATAGGAGCAGCTCTGCGGTCTGCATCTGACAGATGGAGACCGTGTAGCTGCTCACGCAAGTCGGGCACGCGGTCCGTGACTGTGTGCCCGACTTGTCACCTGGCTGCGGGCCACATAGTACCGGCTCGCGGGTCAGAGTTGGCCTGCGGGCCGGTACTTTGACCCCATGGTGTAAAGGATCCCAAAGTTTGGCAGAGTGAAGAAGGGTTACAGACAGACATATTTTTCTTGCCTTCTATATATACCTGGTAGGAAAAATGCAAAATGTAACCGTTGTCAATGGTAGAGAAAATTTTAGAGGAAATCTCTCAATGGGGCCAGCTATTCCAACAACTGTCAAAGGTGGGCTTCCCCTGACTTTGAGAAGGTCTCGTCTCGCTCTTTGCCATGTCTCTAGAAAGAAAACACAAAATATTTGCTTGTTGAAAATAGTTTTTCATTTAGGGCTCAAATCGTTCTCTTTGTGGCAGGATCAGATGTTGCCGTCGCCAGGGGTAGGACAGCAGTCTCCGCTGTGGGATGCTTACTTCTTAGAGGAGCAGTTGAGGTTGCAGGAAGAACGGGAAGTCTTTGAGGAGCAGAAACTGGCTTTCCAGGATGAGAGGGAGAAGTTCACGGAGGCAGCAATCCGCCTGGGCCGAGAGGTGACTTTCATTTCCTACATTTGATACCCTTTACCTTGATGAGGAGAAGCTAGATGATTTCATCTTATAAGGCTGGTTTCACGCTGCCTTCGGTGACACAAACTGGTCATCTTGGTATGTGTGGGTGCCTTGGCCTTTGATGGCACCACTATGCTTTTATAGGGTTTTTTTTTGCCTTCCTCTGGATCAACATTGGGTAATTGTGGGCATTGTGTTCTGTTTAGGCTTTTCTTCTCCTTTTTATCCCTATAGGTTGGACTCTATGGACTTGTGTCTTTTTTCAACCTGACTATGTAACTATAGACCTGAAAAAGCAAGAATCCAATGTAATGTTTCAAGAGCACACAGGACCTCCTTTAAGAACCTCATTGCAGATTTTGGACTGGTGGCCTTTTTCTACATTGAGGTCTGGGGACACCCCAAGCCACAGTAATGCCACCAGCTTACACTGTGGTGGTGGCCAGTAAACTGACGACCATAACTGTAGATTTAAGAGTTGCCACACAGCCTACCTGTAGCTTTGAATAAACTTTGCACAAATAGGAGTAGGCTCACCTTGTAGAAAATTTGCATTGGTTTGTGTGCTTGCTGGTGGGAACAAGACTTTTGTTGTTTCTCCTTTCAGGGCCATGTTAGATGGGCAATATGTTGCCACCGAAAGAACCAATGATATGAGGCAGCCATTTGTGCTTATGGAGACCCTTCTGAATCTCACTTGCTAATGAGTGAGCAGAGAGGCAGAAGCATGTTGCTGGTCTGGCCACCAAGGTAAAGTAAGTTTCTCTTAACAGAAAAGCCACTGACCCAGTTGTTAGCAACAGAATGGCTCATCTGACTTGGCCCTAATGCTTCGTATTTACACCTCACAGTATGTTGAATTGCAGTGTGTTGGCATGCTTTGACAAATTGTGCCTTGAATCCTATTTACTTTACTAGCAAAATGCAGGCTGGAGGACATCCTCGGAGATGTGAGCAAGCCCTTAGGCTGGTTTCACACCTTTCCATATGCATTTTGTGTGTTTTTCAATGCACAGCCTGTCATGTGGTTTCACACACTGCCATTGTCCTCAAAGGGCACTTTAGTACACCTAGACTCCTCCAAAAATCAGGCACGGCCAATGCGTGCCATACAGATGTGAATTTGCCCTCCTTTAAAACAATGGCTAACCTGGATACATTTGGTAATGTGCGTTACAGCGCAAAGGTGTGAATGGATCCTTACAGTAAGTGACATTGCTCAGACCTTACCAGAGCCAATGTAGGCAGTCAGACAGAGACCACTCGGTGTGTTCATAATGGGCATTGTAGAGGCTCAGCCAATACTAAAGTGTCTGGGTTCCTTACTACCCATGAGTTGCCTATTCCTTCTTTCCTAGGTCTAGAAGAGTTCAGTATTTCCCTGACAGACCATTTTACCTATGCGTGTGTGTGTGTGGTAATGCAGAAAATAGCAAGTCCCTCTGCACTCCTCACAGCGCTCCCGGCCCAAGTACTTGTAGTGGTGCTCGCAGTGACAATCACGGATGGCACCGTGCAACAAACAGTGGAAAGCAGAAATCACCAGCACTCTGTAAATATCTTTTGATGTCCATTTCCTCGGCTCAATTGTCATGTACAAAATAGCGACGTTTTGGGACCGCACAGGATCCCTGCATCAGGGCGACAATGTAATGAGGTAATGCAGACACACAGGTGTACATTTCCCTTTAAAAACACCTTAAACTGTTTGTCCTTGTGACGGTTTGACTCTCTTATTCCTGAAATAACAACTACTTGCAGGTTTGAACAAAACAGACCTATTTTCCTTCCTGAACTGGTTGTAGCAATATAAACTCTTGGGTGGCTTACATGGCATTATCCTGTTGTACAGAGGCTCCAGTTTAAGGCGGATCAAGCACTTTTCATGAAGCAGCAGTTTTTAAATCTGACTCCGGGTGATGCAACGCCCCCCTGGAAGAAGACGCCACCTTGGTCTGCTTTTAGTAAGTACTTCCATTTTCTGGCCATTGGCAATAGTGTTGTAACAACATTTTAAACGAGAACTCTGGGGAGAATGATTAACCCTTGCAGTGGGGCTACCCCTGCACTGCAAGGGATAAGCGCTCATTTTGGTCTTGGGAGGAAAATAAAAAAACCTATACTTGCCGGATCCTTGGAGCCGGCTTTCTGTTGGACCTGCTGCTTCCAGCGCCTCTCCCCCTCCGCTGCGCCGGTCTAAGGTCTGTGAGTCATCATGTCCAATACACTGTATAGGAGGACACAGAGGAACATACCATTGCTGCAAGAGACGAGCTGGAGGAAGCGCTGTCACAGCCAGCCGGTGAGTGTAATCTTATTTTCCTCCATAGACCAAAACAAGCAGAAATGTGCTGCCTTCTGTTTTCCGATCACTTTCAACAACTTCCTGAATTCCCAGTGTGTTTTACGTCCCTTTTTTTTTCAGTTTCAGAACAATAGGGTTGGGAGGTCCCTGCTCGTGAGAGCTTACAATCTAGTAGGAGGGGCAAGTGATACAAAAGGTAATAATTGTTTGGATTGAGGTATTGGAGGAAGTAAAAGGCAGCTATGTTGAGATGATGCTTCCCTGAAGAGATGGGTTTTTAAGGATCGCCTAAAGGTGGGCAGCATAGGAGATAGGTGGACAGAATGGGGTAAAGAGTTCCAGATCCAATGTAATGTACGGTATACCATACATAATGCCATCACTAGTTCTCTCCTCCTGGGGCAATATTCTCACCTTGCTTCATGAGTCAGGAGTCTTTGGAGAATGTCGAATTTCTTCATCAATAGTCTGTTGACAGTCATAGATACGGAGATCAGCCTAGGTCAGTGGTGGCGAACCTTGGCACTCCAGCTGTTTTGGAACTACAAGTCCCATGAGTCATTACAAGGCTCTGACAGCCACAGACATAACTCCCAGAGGCAGATGCATGTTGGGATTTGTAGTTTTGGCACAGCTGGAGTGCCAAGGTTCGCCACCACTGGCCTAGGTTATGTCAGATTTCTGTAGACCTCTAAAGGGGCACGTAGAAAATAAAAACAAGTCATCACTTGAATGGTGTAAAATGTGTTTGGTTACATGCCGTAATTGTTTGAACATTCAGGAATGATCTGTTGTGTTCTGGTCCACTTTATTACCCACTTTTGGATTCTCAGGTGCTGGAACCCCAACAAGGCCTTACAGTAACTGCAAAAAGCAGTGTTCCCCCGCCATGTCTTGTGGTCATAAGATGGGATTGACGTCCGCTGACCCCATGACCCCAAGCACTGCTGAGCTGTACCGGGTCCTGAGACTTGCTCCCCCTAACAGGTAATACAAATGATAATATATCGTACGTATTAGAACACATTTTGGATCTGATGGTTGCTTACCCCCCCCCCAGCATGTTGAGGCTGTAGGAATATGTCCCTGTGCTGCCACAACACTTCAGAAAAGAGACAAGTTTGTGAGATTTTGTAGTGCTGCCCCCCTCATTGGATGCATGGCATGTCATGTGGGTAACCTTTTACAGCAACGCTTTAGTGAAGCTCAGGTGTAGGCAACCTCGGCACTGTTGCACGACTAAGTCCCCTGATGCATTGGAAGACTCCGGACTGCCACAGATATGACTACCAGTGACAGAAGCATGATGGGATTTGTAATTTCAGCCCATCTGCAGTGCCAAGGTTGCCTAGCCCTGGTGTAGCTTCAGTATGGTTGTAATGGAGGAGCATGGAAATAAAGTGGATGCTTAACCTCTGTAGTGCTGGAACTGCTCACTGTCTTGGAAGACCCTGCTCTTTCATTTGTGATTTACTTCTGCAATCCATATGATAGGCTTGCTGACCTTAGCGACTGGACAAACAGGAGGAGGTTGGTCTGTCGCAAGTCCTTGAAGGGACACGTACAGGGGACGAGATTCATACTGTACATCAGAAATGTCACGAACACACCCATGGATGATATCCAAAATAAAGCGTCTCTTATTCATGCAAAAAAATTATTTTCAGGAAAGAAAAAGTGGGGTTTTGAAAGCACCAAAAAATGACACTTTGTACTTCACCATCAAACTGTGTGCACATACATGATCAAATTAAATAGTTCTATAGAAGTGTCAAAAAAATCATATATAAATGAATAAATAACACAAAATATTAAGTAAATAAATAGATAATGAGCAGGCTGGCTAGCCCTGCCCTACATCCAAAAATTAGCTACCGTAATAGGCTGTGTATTGCAGTTCCATTGGAAAAATAAAGTGACAGTGCTTATAGAACTCAATCAATTAGTGAGGTATAACTTTGTGATGAAAAAACAGTTCCAACTATATCATGATGCCGCAAACCTAGATGGTAATGTTTGGATCAGTGGTGACTGCTGATAGGGGTTTTTTTTTGGGGGGGTGGAAGAGCAACTTCAACGTTTCGTGCAACTCTGCGCTTCTTCAGGAATAAAAGGGAGATATCTGTATAGTATAGAAAGACATTGAATGTAATTTCTATCATAGTTATTATTCTAAAGGGGGGGAAAAAAGAAATTGGGTCGAATCTTACCTACTGGTTTTGCACAGGCAGGTATATGCGTATGTTCCCAAGCAAAGACGCCCGGACGGCCAATTCCATATGGTCCTTCCCAGTGGGCCAAGGAGAGGGTGAGAGTCGATTGACCCAGAATTAGAGCAGGGGGCGAATGGCAAAGAACGTAGTAAAGATCTATAAAGAACAGACAAACGGAGAAGGGACAAATAACATCACCAAGGCATATGAGTCATACTCGTCATATATAATAAAGAGAGGAGATAACACTCCTATCTGTTTGTTCTCAGTCGGGCATACCTCGTATAGATGTGTCTCGCTCACTAGATTCATCGCCAGGGAGATTAAGGGTCCGTCCCGTCTTATTCTCCCGCAAACAAAAAGACAGCTTAGCCAGATGCCTCCACGCCACCAACTACCGGAAACGCAGCCGCGAGGCTGCATGCTGGTGTCGGTGGCTCACGTGGGCGCTATAACGGCATCCAGCGCGGAAACGTATTTGTGATGTCATCACGCTGTCCGTGGAGTCCCAGCCAATCAGCGATGGTTTGCTTAACCCTTGCGCTTTTTTAAGGACTTGGAATAGCCATAACGTATGTCTCATCTCTACTGAGAACCAAGCAGGAAAAGAGATTACGTTCCCCCCACAGGTCATATAGGGGGCCAAATGTATTTAATGAACCAAACAAAAAACAATAATAGAAAATGGCCAAAAAACATAGAGCAAGAGTATAAGACGTAGAGCTTCACAATCGCTGTAGTTAAAGAGATAGCAGATATACTCCCAGGATAATGATGCCGGCTGTCCCAAATAGGGACGGCTTGGCGCCCAGGGTGATGCTCTTTTAGGGACAGCAGAGTCCCACCGTCCTTGGCAAACACCGGGAAGGACCAACGGAAGAGAGGAAGAGAATAAAGGTGGGGGGGGGGAGGAGAGAACACATTAGTATTTGCAAATGAATCTATCATTTTGATGGGCCAGGGGAAGCATTTCCCACACTACTATTCTTGTGTGTTTAGTTGATGGTATTTCCCAGTAAGCGTGTTGTAGATAGTATACAGTCGCTGTTGGGGTAGTCATAGGGGATATGGACTGCTATTAGTTCCTTAGGGGAGTGTTTTCTTAGAGGAAGGGTTTGAAGCTAAGGGTTTCATTCAGCCCAGGTGGCTGTATGGCCCGTAGCCTATAAATCCACCCTGTCTCTTTTTGAAGTATTTTCTTATCCCAATCTCCTCCACGTTTGTCTTCCCTTATACATTCCAGCCCAAAAAATAAGACCGTTGCATCAAAATTGTGGTACAGGCCCACATGACGACTTATTGGTGTCGTCATCTTACCATTTGATGTTAAATATATATGGTCCTGAATACGCTTGTAAAAGGGCCTAATCGTCTTACCTACGTAGAAAGCGCCACATTGGCAGGTCATCAATGAAACAATCCCCCTAGTTTGACAGTCCATATGATCCCGAGGGGACCATATTTGGCCGTTCGGGAGTATTGTAGACTCACCTTGATTGATGAATCTACAAAAGCTACAACGCCCACATCTGAAAGTTCCCCTAGGGGTAGCCTCACCCGCCTAAATCTCCTGATGGTGGCTATGTACTAGCTGGTCTCGTATGGACCTTGGGCGGCGGTATACAATCTCCGGTTGGTTTCTTATATGTTTAGAGATAATAGGGTCCTGTGATAAAAGGTGCCAATGTTTTTCTAGGATCTGTTTTAACTTGATTGAACTGTTTGGAATAGTGGGTAATTACTTTTACCGTTGGTGTCTTTTGTTTGGTTTGTTCTCTTTTGGATGAGTAGATTAGTTTGTCCCTCGTCTGCAGCTTGGCTCTTTGGTAAGCCTGTTTTAAGACCCGTCTGCTATATCCTCTTGCGCACAGGCGATCCCTGAGCTTTGCCGCCTCTTCCTCAAAGAGGCGGTCCAAGGAGCATACCCTCCTAAGCCGTAGGTATTGGCTGTAGGGTATGCTTCTTTTTAAGCGGGATCGGATGTGCGCTGGTGGCATGCAGGATGGTATTTCCTGCCGATTCTGCGGCGTCTCAGTATACTGAGCCTAGGGTGACGGGAGGACGCTAGTTTGTGTCCTCCCGTTACCCTAAGGAGAACTATGGGGAAAAGCCCTAACCCCATAGTTCTCCTTTTTTAAGGAGTGCAGCAAGATGCATCTTATATCACTTGTCCCCCTTCCTGTGATGTTACGCTGCTACTTATTGGCCTAGTCCTGTCACATGGGGGCATGGAGAATCCTGAGCCCCTGTGTAAACTCCAACTAGAATGACTGAGCTTACACACGGCTTCCTTTTCCTTTTCCTTGCTGCTGTTGGCTAAAAGAAAGGGCAAGTTTGTGCTGCTGGGGAGGGGGGGCATTAAACTGAATTTTGTTGTTTTGCCACGCATGGTCAAAGTACAGGTTCCCTTTAAATTTAGTAAGTGTTCTAATGATGATCCACACTTACTGCCTTCTCGCCAATCTGATATTTCTGCACTGAGCACAGCGCTGATATTTATGTGAAGGTTCATGACATTGGGATTCATGTCTGCGTTCCAGGTCAGTGATGCCCCACAAGTGTCATAGCAGCAGCCAGCGGGGCTCGGAGTCGGACGAGGGAAGCAGCGAAGGATGGACTGACAGTCTTTCTCCAAGCAGCGCCTGTAAGTCAACACCATTTCAGTATACGCTTTATAACACTGCCTTTTGACTGGTGATACAGAGGATTTTTTTAAATGCGCTGGTAAGCTTTTCTGTCCTCTCCATGCCAGGGACCTGTCCTAAAACCTCTTCCAAGTAACAGTGCAAGAACCTTGTGGTGTCTGCAAGTACCTGTGATAGTCTTCAAATAGATGTGGAACCCCTGCAGACAGTGCACAGAGCCTCAACTTTTGCCCAATTCTAACTTGGTGACACTAAAATCCAGGAGTTAATTGGATTGGTGCTGACACTGTCCTTCCTTCTGGAGGGTGGCTACTTTTGTTTCCCATGGTCCCTGTGTGTGTTGTAAAGTAGTCACCACTCCAAGCTCACTCCTGTGATGGACTACAATCTCAATACAAATCGGTAAACTAAACATGAGATTGTAGTCCATCCCGGGAGCAAGCTTGGAGCGGTGACTACTTTACAACACATACTTTACAACACACACGGGTACCATAGGGAACACAAGTAGTCACCCTCCAGAAGGAAGGACAGTCTCGGCACCAATTCAGAGATGATTGGAGGATCTACAGCCGAGTGATACTCAAATAAGATACATTTTTGTTAATAGTTCAGGTATTTGAATGTATTAAGATTTAACTCCTGAGTTTAGTTTTGCTTACATCTAAATTGGATGGAATTTTATCCTCTCCTCGCCAACACATACAATTTGTGAGCAGACAGGCTTTTTATTGTAAAGGAGACCTATTATAAATAATACACTCTTACCTCTCTTCTCGTACTATAAAACCCTTCCCCTTTTTATTACAGCAATGTACTCATAGCCAACCTGGAAACGTGCACCATAAGGTCTGTTTATAACATACTGTATGTCCCCTATCACTTGTGGTAAAAGCTTCTCGCTCGGTGCCACTTCCCCCAAGCTTCCGGTCAGGACACGTACACGGTAGAAGTCGCACCTGACAACTTTTAAAATGATCCAAATACACATTTCACATCTGTTTTTCAACAATTCTAATGCCGGACCACGCTGTCAGCGGCTTTGTATAGTGTCCCACACAGCTTACTGGCGTCACTGGTTGCCAGGAGCTTTACAGGACGCAAGCCAGAACGTCCCGCTCAGCTCTAGGCAACTGGTGACGTCTGTGAGCTGGGTGAGACACCAGGCAGAGCGTCCCAGGTTGCTAAGAGCTCTTGGCAACCTGGAAAGCTGCCCCCCCCCCCCCAAGGGCGCGCGCATCAACATCTAGCCACCTCTTAATGAGATGTCGCCTAAGGCTGCCTTATAGGGACGGCCCTGGTTAGGACCCAAGGACTGATCTAAAGACTAACATGGGTACATGCATGCACCCCAATGTTCCTGCACTTTGACCAAAAAACAGTTAAGGCAACAATGCCAGTCTCTTAATGAGGACCTAAACTTGGGATGCTGTTCCCCAAAAGAAGGCAGGCAAAGGACTAGTCACCAGTATTGCCCATGGTCTCCCACATCTGATCTTCCTAATACTGACTGGACTGTGACCTGTTCTGCACTGCCTGTGTGTGGGTGGTCTCCTTGGGAGAATCAGATCCTGTAGAAAGGAGAACAGTGAGCAGAATAGCAGTGAAACCTCCTGGGACTAGCAGCCAGAGGCAGCAATGCGTTAGATTTTACACTGCAGATATGTAGCTGAGGTTGTAGGCACACGGGGTAACTAGGCACCCTCACATACCAGGAAGTACTCTGCCATTTTCGGAAGGAATTCCAGACTAAAGGTCCATTTTGCAGGGTGCTGCTTAGGCCCCATTAGCCACATAGCAAAGCCTCAGTTTTTATGACCTTGTGTCCACTTTATGGCTTCCCAAATCAAAGCTATTTGCACTACAGAGGTTCAAAATTCCACTGCAGACCTTGCCACTGGAGAAGGAACATTTGACTTTGGTTACTATAAGGCAATACAGATGGATCTAAAGTTGCGACTGGTTGTAATTGTGCCGTTTTTTCTTTTTTCCAGCTCCAGAGTTGCATCAGCATCCTAATTCTTATACACCCATCAAGCTAAGCATGACTCCATATCTTCAGCCCAGACCCTCTCCAATGAGTTCGCACCCAAGCCATATGGACCCTCAGACCCCCTGTTCTGCAGAGCTGTTCAGAGTACTTCGCCTGACTCCTGCTGAAAGGTACACTAAGTCCAGAACTCTAATCCAGTACCCCATGGCAACCAATTATTAGCCTGTTGGAAAGGAAAAACTGATACTGTATTGTTTTCTGGGTCAGATGTTGGAGTTCTCCCACTGACCGGAAGTTCTGGTATCGGGTAAGGTATTGGAGCATTTGTACGAGTACTCGTCCAAATACTCGGTATCTGCACTGATACTAGGATCGGTATCGGCACATGCAAATCCATTTTATTTATAGTTGTCATTCAAACGACAAGCGCATTTCTGAGCCTGATGAAGCGGACCCTGCGTGGCCCCAAAAGCGCTTGTCGATTGAAAGACAAGGATCAATAAAATGGATGTTGCACTAACATGGCATCTGGACAGCTGTATTGGGTGATATGCAGAGGCGTAACTAGAACCTTCAGGGCCCCGGTGCAAGAAACCATGAAGGGCCCCCCCTCCCAACCGTCATGGCACCGCATGGTTAACAGGAAGGCTGCCGAGGTCCCCAGCAAGCGCGGGACCTCTTGCGTACAGACAGGATTAACGAGGAAACCGGCATTTATTTACAAAGTATTAATTTGTAATTGTTAATTGTTACCGTTAATAATATGCCGTCCATGGGAGTAAATGATGAGCGGAATATTAACTGTCACAACGATTTAAACAAAATACTTTGTGAATAAATCCCCGTTTCCTCGATAACACTGGTCTGTGCGTAAGCGCAGACGCTAAGGTCGGCAAATTCGACTACGTCGGCGTTCAACAGAACACCGGTATCTGGGCATTGTCACGAGTATGAGTACTCGTGAAAATGCCCAATATTGGCAGTGGTGTATCCCTACTTAAAGGAGAACTATGGGGTCAGGGCTTTTCCCCATAGTTCACCTTAGGGTAACAGGAGGACACAAACTAGCGTCTTCCCGTCACCCTAAGCTCAGTATACCGCGAGCTACAGCTCGAGGTATACTGAGACGCTGGAGCGGATCCCGACATCGATGTCAAGATCCGCCCAGCTGCGTGAGTGGCAGCTGGCTCTGCCTATCTAGAGGCAGAGCCACCTGTAC